ATCAAATGAAGGACTCTTTAAAGCAAAGGTGGAACAAAAATAAATGAATAAAAATGAATGAAAAGACGAACAAACGAACGAACGAAAGATGAAGAACGAATGGCTTCCAAATGGATGGAGGGATTATCTTCATCATTGTTTCATCTAGATTTCTTTCATTCATCTCAACATCATTTCATTTGTTTATTTTTCATTTCATTTCCAACTACACACTCTCATTTTTGTGATTCACGGAGAAATTCAAACAAAAGTTGCGGTTGCAGTCGCGGTTGCAGTTGCGGTTGAAGTTGCGGTTGCATGTGCGATGAAATCATAAACAAACAATCAAATTTTCTGACTCCGACAAAATTTTAATTAATAAAATATGTATAACATTCACTTTCGAACATTTATATTTCTTGAAAAATAACGGAACAGTTGAAAAATTTTTATAAATAATATTTCAATTGGAATTTTCAAAATGAACAAATTCACTTCTTTTTTCTTTATAATAAGCTTTTTTTTATAAGCCTGATACGTTTTCAAATGGAAATGACACGTGTTGAAAGAAATATTTTAATCCAACAACCAACATCTTACTCTTCCGACATATGCTCAAACACAAAAAAGATGCAATCCTAACACGAATGTTCACAACGGACACGAATAATTCGCACACACACACACATACACACAAACACACACACAAACAAACAAACAGCACGCACAAATACACATATACTAAAAAATACACACATAAACCAAATACTGAAGTAAAATATTTGATACTACAATTTGCACACAAACACATCATTACAAATTTAAACACACTTACATGTAATATTCAAGCATTCAATCGAATACTTTTTTACAAAAACACACACACGAATAACCCAATACACAAAACGTATACAAATATACAAATGCACTCAAACGTAAACTGATGTATATACACAACACACGTACTCGAAATCAAAACACACAGACACAGACACAGACACACACACACACACACACACACACACACACACATATATATATATATATATATATATATATTTGTATGATATATACGTACAAAGGTACAGAGCATACGAAGGCGCATCATTTATAGCCCGGTACGTTGTATTAAATAAGGACGATACGGTTTCCAATTGGAAAGTTGTTTACATTTTTATGTTTAACACATGAGAGAACAAGCAATGCTAATCAATCACAATAATTCAATTGCCTAACTTTTTTTATTCATCTCTCTCTCTTTCTCTTTCTCTCTTTCCCTCTCTCTTTATCTCTCTTTCTCTCTCTCTCTCTTAACATAGTAATAGTAGTAGTAGTTGTAGTATTTTCCTTTCAGTGTAGTACTACCTTTAGATGCATTGCTGTAAGCAATAGACACAGTATTAGTAGTATTTGTCGTTGTAGTAGTTGTAGTAATAATTTGTTGTAGACAGGTTAGTTGTTGTGCTTGAAGTGAAAACAGTCGTGTTAGTATCGGTAACAGAACAGTTAGTAGCGATCGTAAAACAGTAACCACAAATGAAGCAGCAGTAGTAGTAGTAAATACGGTAGTAATGGTAAAAGTAGTAGTAATTGTAGTAGTAGTAATCGCAACAGCAAAATGATGGTAGGTAGTATAGGTTGAGCTCTTTTACATGAGAAATCTTTCCTTATCTCGCAATGAAAATTACATTTGTCATCATCGTTCTTCCTATCGTTGCTCGCATTTTTAGATCCTTTCTAGCCATTTTTCTTTTGTTTGTTTTTTTCTCCTCTCTGCATCTAACGCTGTCGTTTTTGTCGTCGACATCTTCACCACCATGGCCACGATCGCCACCACCGTAGCCACGATCGCCACCACCGTAGCCACGATCGCCACCACCTTAGCCACGATTGCCACCATCGTCATCGCGATGAGTCGTATCATCATATTTTTAATTAAACAGTATTTTACTTTCTTTGAGTCATAATTATTTTTAACAGTTTCCAAAACAGTTTCAACAAATCTCTTTCGGAGAAAATAAAAATTTATTTTTTTCCAAGTCAATTGATTGTTAGTTTTTTTTTTAGAAAGCGTTTTAAAAGTGTTTCAAAAACAGAAGATCGATAATACTATTTCTTATTTTCCATTTAAATCATAATTCGATCTTGATACTCTGGATAATATGGTGATAATATTATGATAATGTGATAATGATTGTTTGATAACGTAATGTTAATATTATATTGTTTCGAACGCTAATTATTGTAACCGTAATCGAATGTTAAAATTTTAAGGCAAACAAACATCTATCTGAAGAATATGCAGTTGTAGAATTATAAAAAAAACATTCCATGCCAATATTTGCTTTTAAGTAAGTTTCAACATTTGAAAAATAATTTTCAGAAGTTTGAACAACATCTGTAGTGTTATTTTTTTAACAGGTTTGACATAACAGAACAGAACAGAACTCATCAAAGGAGGAGTTTTATTTTATCCAATAAAAATCCTTTATTAAAATATTGAAACACGATTCGTTTAACTGATAGTAAAAATTCTGTTTAAAGTTACTGAAAGATTGCTGAAAAGAAAAAAGTTCATTAAGTATGAAATCGTTCGGAACGCTAACACAATATTTTATTCTCTTTGGATTTGCTAAAAATTAATGCCTGTATGTAAATTTTAGCTTTTCAAGTCAATCTCAGCGTTCAATTCTGTACATTGCAATTGTTCTTTACACAGGCACATGCGAACGTACGTTCAATGTTATTGAGAAATAAAATTAAATGTAAATGAACTCTAAGTCTAAGAAACCTCCGTCCTATGTATGTACGAATCATGAAACTTAACTCATGCTATATACAATTCTGCATGCATTTATTAATGATCTCACAAACATTTGACAGAATTTTTGTTTTTTGTTTTTGATAGTTTGAAAGATACTTTAAATTTTTTATGCACAAAACACACACACACAAACACACACACGTACACAAACACACACACACATACACACACACACACAAACATATATATATATATATATATATATATATATATATGTATATATTCATTCAAGTGTGTTTTTAATAAGTATTTTTAATTGCCACCCCTGGCACAATCATACATTTCATAAATTTTAAAAACTTTCATTTATTAAGTTTTTCTCAAGTCTGTTTTCATCAGAAAAAAGTATAAAATTTTAAATTTTCTACATTTTCTAATGAAACTTACACTGTACATCGAGTTAAAAGTTTGAGCTGGCAAGTGAATTCATTTGTCGGAGAGCTTTGAAGAGTTGAATCGATTTAAGCTGAATGTCACCGCAGCATTAGAACGCCAATGTTAACGAGTTTGTTGTTCGTTGTCATAAAATATCAACGGTAATATCAAGAACAATGCACACTCTTCTGATAAGAATTAAAATACAGACATCCAATAAACGTATAGAGATAGATAGAAAGATAGATAAAGAGAGAGAAGAAAAGCGAGAAGGAGTAACAAACAAACAAATATGAAAAGAAACAAAGAAACATTGAAATTAACATAAAAACAATAAGTTTGGCGCAATTCTACAATGTCAGCAACTTTATGTTCCCCTAGCGCGCTCCAATTACTTTTCAATGTTTATTTAACAGTCTATTACTTTCAGTAATTTCAAATTTCAAACCACGCCCTGCATGTTAGTCGACTGAATAAAAGTCTGTCTGTGAAACAACTTACGTCTGTGAGCTTTTGCATGTACGTTTGTCCGTGATCAAATGATGGTTCGTGTCTGTGTGTGACTTTGAATGAATGTCTATGTCTATGTCAGTGTGTCTCTGAAGGTATGCATGTCTGTGAAACGCTGTACGTCTGTGTGTGTTTAATTGTATGAGTTAGGTCTGCTGTTTGTGGGTGTATTTTTTTACTGAGCGTGATTAAACTGGTGTCTGTGTTTAAGTGTTAGATTTTCGAGTTTGAGTCTAAGTCTATGTATGTGTCGTGTCTACGGTCTAGGTATGTGTCGTGTCTACGGTCTAGGTATGTGTAGTGTCTAGTGTCTACGTATGTGATGTGTCTACTGTCTAGGTATTTGTCGTGTCTACGGTCTAGGTACGTGTCGTGTCTACTGCCTACGTATGTGTGTGTTTGCGTGCACCTGGGATTTTTTATTGACTTGAAGCAAATACCGGGCATTAAAGTGTATACACGTTTGAAAAGAAATGGCTTCTACTGGACGTTATCGGCTGATTTTATATTCACAGTATTTGTTTTTATGCTGTTAACTTTTTTGCAATAGATTCAAAAGAAATTGCAAAATAAAACAGAGAATAGAAAAAAATGTTTGCAAAAATTTGATGAAAGGTCACAAGTTGAAAAAAAAGCTACCCAGACGAGCGTCCCATTCGACAGCACAATTGTTGGAGTTGAAATGTAAGATTAACATGGATTTATAGCTAAATAATAAAAGACAGAATGTGAAAATAAAATTTCATTACTTATTGTTTTTATATTTTATAATGATTCGGTTGAAATTTGAGACAAAAAATTACAAAACAAAAAAATAATTCTTGAATCTAAATAGTCTCAATTGTGAACGCATGAAAGAGAGTTAATGAGCACTGGAGATCAAAGGAGCAGCATAACATTAATTCGCTTGGCTGCCCCATGATCGCTTCTTGCGCTCAGCAGTTTCAGGCTTAACAAACTTTGAAGGAATGTAGAAAAAAATGTTCTTACTTGATTGCTTGATGATTTTTTTTATTCAAATTAGTTTCAATTGAAATGAAATTGCTTATAGTTTATTGTTCTTGCATTTTTATTTTCTTTTTTTATTTTTATTTGCGGAAAGTCTTGGAAATTGTATTTGTCATAAAAATTAATTAGAAATGTCTTGAAAAAAATTTTTCAGTCATATACTTTTCTTGGACTCCACATCCACATAAATATATGGAGGTACGTCCAAAAAAATTCGACATTTCGTTTAAATAAAATGTTAATACTTGAAATGAAAACAATAAATTTTAAAATAAGCATTTGAAAATTTTATAAAAAGTTAAAATTAAAAACGTGAAACTTGAAAAAAGTTGTTGAACATACCGACTAAGTCAAGCACTTCCAAGGTCCATAAGCTTCTCAGCAGGCACATGTCAAAATGTCTCAGGCCATTGTGGTCTAAATATAGTTCAATCAACCCCTCCCTCTGCTCATTTGCATAAATCATGCCAACCAATGAGATGTCAATATTTAGATCTGGACGTCGCCTTTGGCTATGCAGTCGATGAATATAGGTCAGATTTTGATGGGGTTTGTGATGTTTCGCCGACTTCCTGTTCATTGGATAATCTGACGCATGCTGCTGTTGCGTGTGCAGTTGTGGATGTTGTGGCTGCTGCGAATGCTTCATCTGACTGCCATCAAGTGCGACATGCTGGTGAAGTTGTTGCGCTGTTTGTTCTGGCAGTGGCCGATCGAGACCGCAAAAGGCATGTTTACGTATGACGATAGGTGAGCCGTTCTCACCGAGGTCCAAATAATTGAGGTGCGACGAAACTCCACTGAACGCCCCAGGCGATATGTCGTGAATGCGGTTGTTTCGCAAGGACATCGCGCGAAGTTTCGAAAGTTTTCGGAGGGCTGAATTTGGAATGGTTGATAGCTCGTTGCCCTCCAAGTCTAATGTGATGAGTTCTGCCGACCCGCTGAATGTTTCAGACGTCAGCTTCTTTACTCGGTTGTACTGGAATCTATTTGATGAAGCAGTTTGTTTGATGAGGTAGTTTGCTTTTGCTGTGCAGTTGTGATGTTGTTGACGTTGAGAATTGTTGTTAGTATTGTTGTTTGTGGATTGCTTTTGTTGTTTCATTGCTTTTGTTCATTTGATTATTTGTTTTAATTTTTTTCTGACTTAAGAGATAATATTTAACATTATTTAAAAAAATATTTTGAAAAAACTATCATAAAAATAAACTTAACAAACTATTTAAACAAACAATTATTTTAGAAAATCTATAACTAGCTTATTATTCTCCAAATAGCCTGACACCAGAAAGAAAGCACTCCAGTAAATCAGCAAACAAATAAGGAAGAAAACCATCGGAGTTAAAATATAGTTCATCCATTCAACTTCCAACTAACCAACAAACAAAGAACAGTTGATGTTTAATTCAATGAAACCTGAAGCGATAATTGGTCTTTGGCTAGATAACTCACAAACATCCATTTGTTTCGCGTGTTCCTTTACTCCAACATTCTTTCTTATTTTTTTTCAAATCTCTCAATAATTTTGAAACATTGCTTTACTATATTTTTGTGTTGTTTCGTAAATTCCTTTCTAACAAACTGATCAACCATCCTCCCATTAAGTATTATAATGAATGCTTTTTTAAAGACAAGGTGCAAATTTAAATAAAATGAATTCCATTCATTAACACACACATGTAATTCATTCACACACACAAACAAAAAACAACAAAAATACAAACACAAGCACGCACAACAACAGAGACAAACAAACCACACACCGCTTAAATATATATTTATATTATTTATATAATTTACTAGGTCATTGTAGAAAATTCATTAATTTTATGGCTCTGAGGAAGGAATCCCAGCCAGCAGTGGCAGATGAGACTAAAATGCAATGCTTGAAAACACTCCTGATGTCCGATCAATTTATTGAATTAACATTTCCCCGATAGTTTGGAAGTTGATGACGATGATGTCAGTGATAGTAGTGGTGTTTAATAAACTCACACCCACACACACACTCACACACACACACACATACCTACACACACACACACACACACACACACATGCACATTCACAAACACGTACACATACTTGCACACACACAGGCATATAAAAATACACATATTTGTTTATTGAGTATTGCACACACACACACACAAGTTTTTTATTGATTTTTCTCAGTAAGTATTGTAGTGATGATAATTGGAACAGTGACTGCAATAATGTGATAAGGATTAAGTCAGTGATTATGAGAATGATGATGATGACAATGATGAGGATGATGATGACGGTGACAATGATGAGAATGATGATGATGATGGCTTCTGTTGCAGTTGTGGCTTACGATATCATCACGATGAAATGAGTATGGGTGAGATTTTTTTTGTTGCCTGGCAACCAAATTGACATCAGCAAGGTTTTTGTCCTTCAGTGCAAGTCTTTCCATGTAGACAGTTTGATTTTATTATATTTCGTTATCGTTATAATTGATATAATTATAGTTATCATAATAATAATTAATATTACAATTATAATAATTAATATTAATGATAAAATAATTATTGTTACACAGATACTGTAACCATTTTCAACTATAAACCAAAATTTTTTCATACACACACAAACATAATAATGCACAACTCTTGAGACATATATACGCACACGAAAATGTATGCACACACACACAAACACACACACAAACACATCACACACACACACAAACACATCACACACACAAGCACACACACATACAATTATTGAACTTAAATAAAAAAAATTCAGTATAATTGTATTTGCATAGTTTTATATTCTCCTCAAAAACAATGTGGAGTTTGTTTTTCAAGTAAGGACTGCTGTGCGTGTTTATTGTACCGAAACCCAAATGGTATGTATGTTTATCTTTTATGTATGTATGTATGTATGTATGTATGTATGTATGTATGTATGTATGTATGTATGTATGTATGTATGTATGTATGTATGTATGTATGTATGTATGTATGTATGTATGAATGTATGTATGTATGTATGTATGTATGTATGTATGTATGTATGTATGTATGTATGTGCACATGTATTTAGTCTGTTGTGTATGGTATGTTTATCACAGCATGAATACGCCACCAAGCGTGCAATTTACATCTAGATGAGTGGATATGGGTATCATTTTTTATT